TGTATATATGTATATGTATATATGTATATGTATATATGTATATGTATGTATATATGTATGTGTATGTATATATGTGTATATATGTGTATATATATATGTGTGTATATATGTGTGTATATGTGTGTTTATATATATATATGTGTATGTTTATATATATATGTATGTGTGTTTATATATATATGTATGTGTGTTTATATATGTGTTTATATATATATATATGTGTATATGTTTATATATATATGTGTATATGTTTATATATATGTGTGTATATGTTTATATATATGTGTGTATATGTGTGTTTATATATATGTGTGTATATGTGTGTTTATATATATGTGTGTATGTGTGTTTATATATATATATGTGTGTTTATATATATATATGTGTGTTTATGTGTGTTTATATATATATGTGTGTTTATATATATATGTGTGTATATGTGTTTATATATATGTGTGTATATGTGTGTTTATATATATATGTGTGTGTATATATGTGTCTCCTTGTCGTGTCGTCTGATGAAAACCTGCTGAGATGTTTGTTGATTGAATCTCCGTCTGATGAATTCCATCATAATAAACTTGAGAGACTCAGCGAGGAGCGAGGACACGAAAACAAAGTGAGAGGAAACAAAAGTCAGCTGGATGAAGCTCAGGACATTTCTGAAAGGTCAAGAGGAGGTTTAACAGAGTGTGACAGTTTTTATGTTCATCCTTTGGTTCCTAAAATAGTAAATAAATACAAATTTAAAACGTGAAAATCTATATGAATAATTGGCTAATCCTTCCTACTTTTAATCTATAAAATGTGAAAAATATGAAAATCATACTCGAGCACAACTTTCCACATTCGTCATTTGTTTTTAGTGATTGATTATCAATTCATTGATCCATAAAATCAGACTGAAGCTCTTCCAGAGAGAAAGAGAGAGAGAGAGAAAGAAAGAGAGAAAGAGAGATTACACTCAACCATTAACTGGAAAACAAATGATTGTTAAGCCAAGACAAACAAACAGAGAGGGCGTCGCTCATGTAACCGTGTGTCTGGACTACTAAACAGACAAAGACGACAGGAGAGACACAACGACAGAGAGAGACAGGAGAGAGAAAGACAGGAGAGATAAATACAAGAGAGAGAGACAGAGAGAGAGAGAGAAAGAGGACAGACAGGAAGACAAGAGAGAAAAGTTGGTACTGACTTTTCTTTTCCTCCTATAGCCATCCATCCGTCTATCTGTCCATCTGTCTATCTGTCCAGCCCTCCAGTCGTCCGTCAAACTGTGAGTACATTTCCTGTGATTTCCAGAGTAAATCCTCTTTTCCTTGTGTTTGTATTGAGCTGTAACTGTAATCCTTTAAGAACTCTCACCAGACTCCATACGAATGTTTCACATTATTAGAGTTCACTAGAGAACCACTGTGGCAACCTTTCTTTTGAGTAAAGTGTGATGATAAAGATCGACAAACGTTCTGCATTCATCTCTTTTTTTATCGAGGACAGACTCCAGAACGTTTAGTGAAGTGACAGAGTGTTGAGAACGGAGCAGGTGTGGACAGATTAGTTTGAAACAGTTTACACAAGGTTTTGGACCGTTTTGAGAGGATTTGGAATAGTTTATAGGGTGGTTTCAATAGTTCAGAGGAGGTTTGGAACAGTTATGTCAAGTTTGAACAAGTTTACCGGAGGATTTTGACCGTTTTGAGAGGGTTAGGAATAGTTCGGAAGGTTCTAGATAGTTTGGAGGAGATTTGGATCAGTTTTTGTCAGGTTTGGAAAGGTTTATAGGGTTAGGGTTTGGATAGTTTGGAGGAGGTTTTGAGAGGTTTGGATAGTTTGTAGAAGGTTTGGATCAGTCTTTGTGTTTTTGACACAACCATTCAAAGGCATCTCTTGAGTTTTCAAAGTGAGTCCATGTTTTAAAGAAAATGTTTTTACAAATTAGTGTACTTTTATGAATTTGTTTCGTTCTCAAGTTACTCTGGTGGCACTAACACTGAAAACCTGAAAACCTGAAAACCCCAGTTTCTCTTGTTGTTGTTAGGGAGTCGCCTTGCTGAGGTACCTCTGGATCAGAACTCTGTCTGTGGTTCTGGATCAGAACTTCTTGTGAGTGTGAAATTGTGTTTCTGTAGAGAAGATGGGCTTCGCTGACCTGCTGGAAGAGGTGAGACAGTTTAATACTGCTGAGTACTAGTCAAGTACTTTGAGTACTGCTTCATGTAGTCTTGTTACTACGTCATATAATCTGATTACTACCTCATATAATCTGATTACTGCTTCATGTACTCTTGTTACTGCTTTATGTACTCATGTTACTATGTCATATTATCTGATTACTACTTCATATAATCTGATTACTATGTCATATGATCTGATTACTGCTTCATGTACTCTTGTTACTACGTCATATGATCTGATTACTACCGCATATAATCTGATTACTATGTCATATGATCTGATTACTACCGCATATAATCTGATTACTATGTCATATGATCTGATTACTACCTCATATAATCTGATTACTATGTCATACCATCTGATTACTACCTCATATGATCTGATTACTACATCATATAATCGGTGGTTTGCCGATGACTTGTGATGACGGTGTGTAATATACCCCCCCCCCACACCATGGACAGGTGGGTGGGTTCGGCAGGTACCAGTGGCTCCATGTGACTCTGATCAGTTTACCTGGTTTGTTGATGGCGAGTCAGAATCTGCTGAACAACTTTGTCTCAGGAATTCCCGCCCACCACTGCAGCCTGCCGACCAATCGCAGCCTCCACAACCTGTCTCATTACCAGGTAACCTGTCTTCACCTGTCAGATTAGCTAATCTCAGTACTATGATGGATTCATGTGATTGGTTGTTGCAGGTGGAGGAGAAACAGTTTATCAAAGCTTTTATCCCTATGGACTCTTCAGGAACTAGATTGGACCGCTGCAAGAGGTAAACGTTATTGTTCTTTGTTTATTTCCTCTACATAATAAAGTCCCTCTGACATCACTTCCTGTTCCACTTCCTGTTGTTCAGGTATGTGGAGCCGCAGTGGCAGCTGTTACTCCCCAACAACACCGCTAACGTTAGCGAGCTACAGACTGAAGGATGTTTGGACGGATGGACGTTCGATAACTCAGAGTTCCTCGCCACCACCGTCTCCGAGGTAACCAGTAGTACTGATATTTTAGGAGATAATACTGATACTTTAGGAGGTAGTACTGATACTTTAGGAGGTAGTTATGAGAGAGTGAGGTAGCACTGATACTTTAGGAGGTAGTAGTGCTACTTTAGGAGGTAGTAGTACTACTTTAGGAGGTATTTATGAGAGAGTGAGGTAGTACTCATACTTTAGGAGATAGTACTGATACTTTAGGAGGTAGTAGTGCTACTTTAGGAGGTAATTATGAGAGAGTGAAGTAGTACTGATACTTTAAGAGGTAGTGATACTTTAGATTCTAAAGTATCACTACCTCGTAAAGTATCACTAGAACCTTAGAAGGTTCTAGTGATACTTTAGGAGGTAGTAGTGATACTTTAGCAGGTTGTAGTGATACTTTTGGAGGTAGTACTGATACTTTAGGAGGTAGTAGCGATACTTTTGGAGGTAGTAGTGATATTTTAGGAGGTAGTAGTGATACTTTAGGAGGTTTTAGTGGTACTTTCGGAGGTTGTAAACCTACTGGCACTCTGATTCTGTCTCTTTTCTTCAGTGGGAGCTGGTGTGTTCTCTGCGTCCTCTGAAACAGATGATTCAGACCATTTATATGGGCGGAGTATTAGCAGGAGCCATTATTTTCGGAGGACTTTCAGACAGGTAAAACTCGCCTGGTAACACTCACCTGTTAACACTGCAAACATACATAATATTCAAGTCTTTGACATGTGATGATTTGAACCAACAGTGGATATGAAGCAATGTTTTTATGTCCATGTTTTAGTTGCATGTTGTCCTGTGAACATGTCGTCGGTCTTAATATCAAATCAATACTAATCTCCCTTTCTGTCTCTCTCGCTCTCTCTCTCAGGTTTGGGAGGCGGTCTGTCCTTATATGGTCATACCTTCAGCTGGGTATTCTCGGTTGTAGCTCCGCCCTCTCTCCTTCATACTCCGCCTATTGTGTTTTTAGGTTTTTGAGTGGGATGGCGGTGTCCGGCATCATCCTGAATGGAGTCTCACTGAGTACGTAGTATATCTGTCTGTCTACATGTCTCTTGGTCTACCTGTATGTCTGTCTACCCGTTTGTCTGTCTACCTGTCTGTCTGTCTGTCGGTCATGAACTGCAGGTTCTTTAACGTTTCTGTTTTCCTTCTTGATTCTTTATGGAAACTGATAATGTGTCCTTAGAGGTTGATCAACATGTCTGTCTACCTGTCTGTCTCCAGAGGTGGAGTGGATCCCGACCAAAGAGAGGACGTTAGTGGGCACGCTAAGCTCCTTCTTTTTCACCTTTGGTCAGATGATCCTGGCCGGGCTTGCCTATTGGCTGAGAGACTGGAGGAAGTTACAGCTGGTCGTCTGTGCCCCCATGTTCCTGTTCTTCAGCTACAGCTGGTCAGTGTCCACTTTCAAATCTACTTCCTCTTCCTGCTCTCTGATTGGTCGGGGAGTTCTGATCCGGCTGTTCTCTGATTGGTCAGGTGGTACGTAGAGTCGGCTCGTTGGTTGGTTCTGAACCGTCAGTCTGAGGAAGCATTAAAGAGTCTTCATCGAGTCGCTCGAATCAACGGAAAACCAGAGGTTGTGGACAAATTAACCCTGGAGGTAACCTGTCTGTGTGTCTGTCTGTCTGTCTTGGGTATACCAGTGGTGGGCCGTCAGAGCCTGCAAGGCCTTCTCTGCTGGCCTAAACAGAATCACAAAGTTATATCTATTTTATAATTTAATAATTTTTCTTAAATACACTACATGTATTATAATTCATAAAAATATTTTTCCCGTTATCTTATGTTCTCAATGCACAGCTACTGTCTTCCTCAGTTGCTCTGCTTCCAGTGCAGCTTGTTTTAAGTAGAGCTTTTATCCAATCAGATCTCACCTCTGTGTCTCTAGGTAAGAAGAGAGGCACGAGGCCTGCAGACTCACAAGTGAATCCATGTGCAGTTTAAGTGAATGGGGACGATATTGTTGATTGTCATAGTCTTCAACCAATCAGATCTTTAGTTTGACATGTTGGGCGTATTCTTTGACGTGTCAGAGCTGCTAGCTGGCCTACAAGTACGTGATTGATCAGTGGGCTAGCGTGACATGTTGGGCAGTGACAATCCCAATATCTGCTGCCTCTGTGGAGCAGACATTTTCAGCCTCAAACACATTAAAACCTATTCAAGAAATACAACTGGGGAGGCTCGAATGTCTTCACTGGTGTCCATGAATGGAGAAGGACTTCTTACTGGAACTAAAACACACGGATGTACTGAACAACCATGAGATTAAACTCTTTGTTAACAAAGAAAGGAGGAAGAACAGCTAAATAGTGAACAGCAGCTCTGGTAAGTTAACTGCAGTAGCTTTAACTGCCATAAATATGATCTATGTCATCATTTAATATGCTTGTTTATATTATATATTGTTATTTCTACAACTTATATGGATTTTCGTTTGGTTTTATATGTGATAGGAACTATTGTTACGTTCTATGTTGCGCTGGGGACAAATTTAGCCGGTGCACAGCAACAAGACGACACGCGAAGCGGCAGCGGTCTATATACTCCGTGCAAAGTGTTAAAGTTAAAGTGTTAAAGTTAAGTTTAAGTTTTTAAGTGATCTACTTTGAAGGTTCATGTGTTTTCAAGTGGACTCATTTTCCCTCTCGGTGTTGACAGACTAATAAATCCGTCAGTAACAAGAACTATGGAGTCGTTTATTTCCTGGAGGGAGTGATAGGAGAGTTACTACTCTATTAATTTGTCTGTCGTGTCGTTTTCATGATATGGGTAGTGTTGTTCCATCTGATATGAATAATATTTGAATGGCCCGTGCTCTTGAGTGTGTGGCGGAATGCGTGTTTTAGCTGAATTGATTTTGACTCATTGTTCGTTTATGCCGCCGCATCCCGTCATGCCGGTATTCATGTATCTGCACTCAGTGTATTTGTAGGTGTTGAGCTTCATTTTTTCGAGTGCAGGCCCAGGTATAAAATGCACGGCCCGCCACTGCTGTATACAGATGTGTGATATCCGATCAGAAGCTCAGATCAGTTTTCTGTAACCTGCAGGTTCTTCACTCTCACATGAATAAGGAGATTGAGTCGAGTCGGTCAACGTACACAGCGTACGATCTTCTAAAGACCAGAGCGATGAGACGGATCTCCATCTGTCTGGTGGTTGTCTGGTCAGAAGATTCACCTGCTTTATATATAACAATAATAATAATATCAACTTCTTTTTGATACAAGCTTTAGGAGATGTTTTCAGAGAGAATCACTAATTGGCAATCTCCAGCAATTTTGGAGGGAAATACATTAATTGGGTCTGAAGAAGAGCAAGTTGATTCCAATGGAGAAGATAATGGAAAATGATGAGTCTTCATTTGAGACTGATGACATATTTAAGTGGGATTATAGTAATCTGTATGCATTAATAGTCCTCTTCTATTTAATGTTCAACTCTACAATGAAATCTGTAGATTAATATGTGGTCTTGAAGATGGGATGAGTAATGCTAACTAACTAACTAACTATCTGCTGACTAGTCAGATCCCACTAGAGGAAGAGCAGAAGGTAGGACATGAAGGTAAATTACAGGATTTCAGAATGATATGTTATAAATACATAAAACCTACATCTGTAGAAGCCAAAGCTATCAGGTACCTGATCAGTACAGTTTGAAATCATTATTCAGGTTCCCTCAATAACAGACTAATTAACCCACTTCAGCTGTTATTTGAACCCGAACCTCCATCTTTTCCTAAACCTCCGGTCCCTTTTAGTGGGATGGAGGTGTGGTATTTATGTAAATGATGGAGACGTATTGATTCACGATATGAACGTTGGTATGCTATTTTATGCTGATGACATTGTGTTGGTTAGAGAGGAAAAGATTAATCTACACAAAATGCTGCATATTATGTGTTTATGGTGCAGTAAAAGGAGACGGTGAAAACAGATTATACATTTTAGAAAGCAGATCAATATTTCAGTTTGGAACAAAGGCTTATTATAAATATATAT